ACATATTAAAACAGTATTAAGCAATTTCAGGATCCAAAACAATAATAGGAGGCACAACACAAGGCAGCATTTATTCATTACTCAACAACTATTTATAGAAGTCATACCATGTGTCAGGTGCTCAGGATACAAGAATGAGCAAACCAGACAAGGTTCAGGTCACCTTCATGGAGCCGGAGACCAGTGGCGAGATGGCCAGGCATCAAATGAACACACAGCAGGTCCTCAAATAACGTCATTTTGTTCAACATCGTTTCATTATAACGTTGATGAGATGCTGAAGGAACTTAACCCTTGTTTTATCAATTAACCAATGGTAAAATTGGTTTTGTTATTATGTCATCTCGCTTAAAGTTGTAGGACCTATAGACAATGTTAAGTGAGGACTCACTGTAATTATGATACACATGACAAGTGTGTGACTGCTGTTCACATTCAGAGATCATCAGGTCAGTAGGGGATGGTATAATAATAGGATGTGGAATTTGAACCGTTCCTTGACTAGTGTTGGAATTTGCAATGACAGAAAGGAAAGTGAAGGGCTTTGCAAATGGATGACGGCATGGCATCCATTCAATAAGCAGTTACTGTGCCTACTCTATGCCAAGAATAATGCTAAGACAAAAGTTGTCAACTAGGGGAAAACCCATTTAAAACAACAGAGGATTTGTGTAAGAGATTAATAAGGACATGTGGGACAGTAGGCCTGATTCAAATCACGTAGAATCCTTGAGTGCTAAGTTAAGGAGTTAGAACTAAACCCTGCAGGAATCACTGAAGGTTATTTTGCAGTTTAGTACCCCACAATATTAGAATTTACCCCTACAGAATGTCAATGACTATCTGCATTCCTATTTGGGGCCAACTAGACCTCAAAGCTGGATTGCTTTCAAGAAAGGGCTCAGGGCAACAAAATAAATGCCAAGTCTAAATTCATTTAAACAACGAGAAATAGAGTAACTCTGATCTCTCAAAGAATAAAGGTATGGGGCAGCCGGTTGGCTCAGTTGGTTAGAGCACAGTGCTCATAACACCAAGGTTGCTGGTTCAATCCCCACATGGACCACTGAGTGTGCCCTCCACAACTATTTGATTGTTGGAAAAGTCATGACATATTTTTTTCTATGTTTTTTGTTGCAAAAATGCGTCATGACTTTTCCGACTTGGAGCTGATGGGTCCTGGAAAAACACACTGTTCCCCAATAAAAAATAAAATAAAACATTTAAATAAAAAAAGAATAAAGGTATAGCAATTTTAAAATGTTGGAGAAGACAACAGCTAAAGGAAAATGGTAAAACCCTCTTAAAATCACAAAGTTCCATTTCTAAAACCTAAATTATTCCTTTATATGCCAAAACCTTCTAAAGGAAACACATTTCTGTGAGAAAACATTCTTTGAAAAACAAATTCTTAAGTTGAACAATTATCTGATTTTTAATAAAGTTGGTGACAACTTACCTCAGGGCATAGGTGAGAGTATAACAGTGGAAAGTATGTAAACTGCTTTTTAAGATACTCACCTCAGAGTTCCCATTTCCCTATCCCCTTATCTAAACAGAGTAGAGGACTACATATATATTAAGCCGACATATCAAACAAAGTTTTTCACTCTCAGGTCTTAATGTAAACTGAGTAGGTAGATATTCTGTTTATCTCTGCAAAACAAATCACTAATTATCTCCACTATTTTTTTTCAGCCAGTGACCTTCCACAGAAAAGTAGTTAACAAAGACTCCTCAATGGCTTCCCATTTTTCTGAGAATCAAACCCAAATTCTTTCTCAGAATCTCCAAGCCCAGCATTATCTATTATCTGACAAACTCTCTAACACCTTTAACCACTCCTCACCACCCACCCAGCTCACTAGGCTCCAGCCATACTGGCTTGCTTTCGGTTCCTCAAACACCCCAAGTTTATCTTTCTGCCTCATGGCCTTGGCTCTTATTCTCTCTGCTCTTCACAAGACAGTCTCATTCTCTTTTCTCTTTCAGGTCTGTTCAAAGGTCACCTTCGCTGAGAGGCCTTTCCAGACCACCACAGTAGCTAAATAGTCCCTTCCCAGTTCTCCATATCACACTTTGCTATTCATTTCCTTCATTATTCTTACTGCAATCTATAAGGATCTTCTTTTGTTTACTTGTTTATTATCTAGATTGTTTGGTGGAATATAACCTCTGTGAGACTCCACAAGAGCAAAGAACATTCCTTGTAAGGTTTATCATTGTGCCTAATACAGGGGCATAGCAAATAGAAGGTGCTCAAAAGATCTTGTAAAATAAATTACTAAATGAATGAACAATATATTTAAAGACTGATTGCTATGAATGTCAGTAACTTGAAAAAGCCTTTCCCCCCCTAATTTTGAGATGTTTCCTCTGGGGCTGTTCCTTTTTCCATGCTCTTTCTACATTTTCTGAAATCTGATAATGACTGACAAATTATTGTGTCAATAAAAATAAATTTTAAAAAGCAATAAAAATAGATCAGTTTCAACCAATGGATTTAAGAAAAAAATACTTTGAGGAGGTTATAGTTCATTCAACATCAATAAAATCAAACAATTTGAAAATTGGTTAGTCTCATTTCACTACTGTAAGTCAAATTACGTAAAGAAAAGTAATTTAAAATGCAAGGAAAATGAAGAAGATAATTCAAGTCAACCGCAGTTATGTTTAGTATCATCAGAAATATCCAGTCTGATAACTTCTAGGTGTACTAAATAGATTATCAAATGCATATTGAGGCATATAGAAAAGATTCAGATCAAAATGCTTATAATAAACTCATATCCACATTTCGTACCTTTCCCCCTGTAAACATAATGAGTTCACATTAGTGGTAATCTTAGCTGAGACTTAGTATCAATAATAATAAAAGGGAAAAAAACAGCATAATGATATAAATTATTTTCTTTGAAACAGTTTGCAAGTTTGCATATCTTTCCAGAATAGATTGCCAAGAAAATGACAGATTTAGAAGGGTGGCCCTATTAGTATAAATCCCCTTTCCACTCTTATAGTCCATTTTTTAATAGAACTAAAGTGAAGTCAGAAATTTACCAAATGAATGAGGGAAGCTACATATCACCTGCAAACCATCTAACTAAATTGATAATCAATAGCTTTTCTGTTCCTGTAAAAATCACTTTCTTCAGAACATCAACTTAAAACTCTATATAGTCACACCACACTTTTCAAAGTGTGCTTATCAAAATACAGATAAAAAACCGTGGGAAATTGAGGCTCTTATTTATCTATTTTCAAAATGTATCATTTGATGTTGCAGCAGAAACTACATTCATGGTCTCACTGCCAAAAAAAGTGCTACCAAAACAGTGAAATTTGGTGTTATCTTCATTCACAACTTTGTTTCTTCTGAGATTACTACCAATTAGCACACACTTTGTCAATGGCAACACCTGGTCACACATCACGCAAACAGTTCTATCACTGTTAAGTAATAGGATTTTAAGAACTTTCAGTTAAGGGAGCTACTTTTTTATATGTACAATTATGTCATCAGTGTTTAATTATTTCATTTTTCTCAGCTTTCAAATTTGAGCACTAGATGTAGCCATTTCCAAAAACACAGCCTGAAATGCCAGCATGTGCTAGTTCACTATCTCTGGCCTCCACTTTCAGCTTCTCCATTCAATTTTCTTCACACACTCATTAGAGTATGGACGTGAGTAAATGAACCTCAGTATGGGAGCTAGCAGGGCAACTGTATAGGGATAAGTTGATATTGCAGAAAGAAAAACTGGTGCTGTGTGAAATCAACTTAAGAAAATTAATCTCCAATCCACAGAAAAGTAGCCTCTTTTTTAAATGCATGGTTTTTAAATGCCACTTCTTAAGGGTTTATCCAAAATGAAATCTAATGAAAAAAACAGTGGCTTCTTTAAAAAAGAAAAAGAAAGGCAGGTGCCCACCCAACAGGGACTCTTTTCAACCCCCGAGTCTCTCAGTTACCATACACCCTATGCTAACTTGAGTGACTTTACCCCAAACTACTAGAGTCCTCTAACTACATTAAAACCACGAACATCCCAGTTTGCAGATGGAGAGATGGAACCAGGCATCAAAAGTCAATCTCCCCCTCCCCCTCCCCCT